GCGAGATTTCTTTAATCCTTTGCAGCCCTATGTCGAGCGTCACTCGACACAGCGTTTAAGATAAGAGAAAACTCGTTTTCTGAGGATTGGAAGCGTCTATTGTCAATGCTTTTATTTTATACGAAGCATCTACTATTAATTTAAGCAATCAGAAGATTTCTCACAAAAAATTTGGAGAGGAACTTTTGCTTAGACTAGTCGGGGACTTGCGTGTAGTAATAAAAATAGGACGACCATCATCCATATCTGGGTGACGCTTATTTGACTACTTACAAAGAATCGTCATAGGTACTTGAAAAGATATTCCGTAGGATGTAATAAAATTATTGAATTATTAAAAAAGTAATACGAAAATGGTTTATTAGGAAATTGATTTAAAATGTAAAACTTATAAGATATCATATAATGTAGGATGGCGAAACTGGTCTTGAGACACCGGAAATTCACGAAAGAACAAGAACGCAATAACACAAACTCAAAGCTCGTAAACTGATTAGGGAAAGAACACCAATATAACGAAAACACGCAAAGACGCATTCTTTTAAAACTCTCTTTCCAACACCAAGCGACTCACGATTGTGCTGGTCACAGGACTCTGTTTTGGTTGTCAAGGATCGCGCAACAGCTGATTCGCGATTTCTTTTGGTATCCTACAGTAATATATTATATAATATATAATTTTTAATCCCCAAGGAGGACGGTCAGGCCCACGTCTTACATGCATTATTGCCGTTGCAACACCGTTCGTTACTCGGCAAAGATTCAAACCGATCGTGTAGAGTGGCAAGGTGATAAGTGAGGACCTCAAGAAGGTAACAATCGAAACAAACGAACAAGCATGATACCATGGAAACAAACGGAGGGGGAGATTATTCTTGCGACCACCAACGATTCGCATTAGTAAAATATCGGTGAGAGTAACAAAGTACTCGTGGCCTGAAGGAGATTTCAACGTGTTAATATTCTTCGCTATTCGAGAAAATATAATTTTTCCAAAATAACAGGATGGAGGTAAAATAAAGACTGGACACCTCTAAACGATCGATTTCTTTCTTCAAAAAATTCGACGTGCATCGACAGCGATCGAGGAACGATTTTGGGAAAATAAAAATGGCGAAACAACCGATTCGATTCCCAAAGGAATCGAACGTGCATCGATCTGCCAGCAAGGCGCAGAAACTCGAAGAAAATTGAAGCTCTGGCGAGGCGGAACGACGTTAAAGTCGTCGTAGATTTCCCGTCGCGATTTCCCTCCGCGACGAAAATCACCGCGGGCGCCTGGCCAGCTCGACGCGCGTCTCTGAAACGACTTTCTGTGCATTAGGAATGGAATTCGCATTCGAAGTACCGTAAATACGGCACGTAGGTACCGAGTATCTTTTACGCCCGGGACAGGAAGGCGGAAAAATTCGCATACTCGGATCTAGTGTCGGCTCTAATGCGGCCGATCGCCGCTACCGCCAGGATACTCGTGTTTCAACGTTAGCAACGCGTGGGCCGCTGTTCTTGCCGCGTTAACTTCGAATTTTATGGACGGCCGGTTGTAATCCGTTAGAAAGATACGATTTCAAACCGTGCTTCATCGCGTGTATCCAACTTTCCGCCCGATCATTGCGTCGCGATATCGTTTGCTTCTGTTCTTCCGTCCGATCTTAATCCGTTTCTCGGGAAAGATAAACCGACCAGAGGTACGACGATTGCCGACATTTGGAATTAACGAGTCGTTCGTGTCGGCCATCTCGGTTTCTCGCTCTATCTGTCGCGGAAATTTCTCGTCGTGTTTGTGTTTAGTCGGAGTTATGTTGGATCTTTGCTGGAAAACTCGCAGCCGAGTAATTTAGAGCTACTGAATCCCTGTTTGCACTTAATATCGCGGTTCTGAGATAGTCTGACGAATGAATGTTCCCAACGAAAGTTAATCGGAGTTCAGAAGGCTACATGTTGGAACATAAAAGATTCCAATTCCAAGATTCCGACCTATTTTTCTTCCTTTCTTATTTTTCGATAGAAAGTCAAGGTTAGCTTGATGACCAAATATAAATTTTTGAAATCAAAATCATCTGAGAATAATAGTATAGTATAGTTTATTGGCAATATTCGTATGAAATAAAGGATACAAGGTGCCATTTAACTCTCTGAGGCACGCTGGGATTAAAAGTGTCCCACCTTTTTGATGCACCGCAATGCATACTGGGACATTTTTAATCCCACCTCGAAATATTGGAATAGCTACATGGATTAGGTTTATATTTCGTGTTATTTACGTAAAGCAGTTGTTAATACCTTCGACAAATATTATATTACGAATGTATTTCTTTATTTTTAAAAATATGCCAATTTTGTTTCATTTAAAACGCAATAAAATTTCTGTGCAATATGGTTCTATTTTATTATCTGAAATCTTTTGCCATAAAGAGTTGAAAAAGTTAAGACGATTTTGAATTTTTATCGAAAAATAGTAGGTTTCGAAGATTTTTATACTTCAATGTGTAGCTGAGTATATACTAATTTAATTTCGTTCCAAACATTTTTCTGTCAGACTGTCAAAGATACCTGAAAATTCATGGTAATTCATGGTGACAATTACATACCACACCTGTGTCATATATGAGCCGTTCACTGCACAAATTGATTAACTCCACTTTTTAAAAAATCTTAAATATAAAAGTTATGACTATACCAAGCTCTTTGACACATAAATTTAAAATTTTTCAAAAAGTGGAGTTAATCAATTTGAACGGCTCATATATTTTATATAATTCTTAAATTTGAGTTCAGGGAAGAGATCCTTTCCCGATGAACATCAAGAGAATTCAGAATTTCTTTTCACTTAGTATCATGTATTATCTTGTGACAAAGGTAATCCAGATCTAAAATTTAGAATAACCGTGAAAGTCTACTCGACTCGTGACATTCGTGTTGCCAACATTCCGGATCAACGAGTCATTTCCATTGTGCCTTTCGATTTCTACTCTCACTGCTTCGTTGTGCCATTGACAATACAACGATTTAACCCTTTAACTGCGTTGCCGAAATCACACGTTTCATTTAGGACGCAATGCACAGTGCACAGTGCACTGCTAGATGCAAGATTCGTTCTAATATTCTTTTGATCAATGTTCCAATAAAAATTTTTAATTGTCAATGGGGCACTTTATATTTCAAAGTATCTTTTAATTAGCGGGTATATTCAAACTGCACTGACTGTCAATTTTCATTCAATGTTGTTCGATGTAGTTTAAGTAGTTCAAGCGCTCCAGTCACCAATGACCACCGTGGCGTCACAGGAGAAACCGTGGCTGGTCACATATGACCAACGTGGCAGTCAAAGTGTTAACCCTTTGCACTCGAGAGGTGAGCTTCAGTCACCATTTCATAAAATTTGGAAGATCGATATTGTAGGATGGCGAAACTGGTTTTGAGACACCGAAAATTCACGAAAGAACAAGAACGCAATAACACAAACTCAAAACTCGTAAACTGATTTAACTTAGAGAAAGAGACCAAGATAACGAAAACACGCAAAGACGAACTCTTTTAGAATTCTCTTTCCAACACCAAGCGATTCACGCTTGTGCTGGTCACAACCGATTTCTAAGGACTCTGTTTTGGTTGTCAAGGACCACGCTTTTATACTTTCCTTAACCTACGCTTCACCTCCCCGTAGGGGAGCTACGCAACTTAACCCTTTGAACTCGAAGACATTTTGTTGTAAACAGCAATTCGAAGCACTTAGATTTTTATAAGCTCGCTGATATTCCTTATGCTAAAATAGAAAAAGATTATGTTAGAATTATTTTATTTCGATATTACGTATGTAGTTATAGTATAATTATCATTTCTTATTCATTATTTAAGTTATAGCATTAAAATAAACGGTGACTGAGAGTCACTTCTCAAGTGCAAGGGGTTAATTTTGTTATATAGAATAACTTTTTCATTCACTTCTAGAAGATATCTATCGGTTTACAATTTGTTTTTGTTGGCAATTGCCGATTCGCGATTTCTTTTGGTATCCTACAATATTAATTAATATATCAAATTTAACGTAATATAACAGTGTGCACAGTATCGAAATCAAATAATTATACTATAATAAATATAGTATAATTATCATTTCCTATTCATTATTTAAGTTACAGCATTAAAATAGACGGTGACTGAGAGTCACTTCTCGAGTGCAAGGGGTTAATTTTGTTATATAGAATAACTTTTTGATTCACTTCTAGAAGATATCGATCGATTTACAATTTGCTTTTGTTGGCAATAGCCGATTGGCGATTTCTTTTGGTATCATACAATATTAATTAATATATCAAATTTAACGTAATATAACAGTGTACACAGTATCGAAATCGAATAATTCTACAATTCTATTATTATACAATTCTTCATTTACTGCTGTAAAAAGAATCGTCAGTTTTTTAGTAGAGAATCTTTGATTTTCTACTCTTCTCTAGACAAAAAGTCGTCGAGTACAGAGGGTGAATTTGATAATTGACAACCCCAATTGAAAGAATCAGAAGCAAAGTATCCTCGTTCTATTGAAACCTCCAAAATAAACCTTTCCTCGTCTGCAAACCTAACCATAGTCCGCAAACTCTCCATCTGCAACCTCTCGGACTCCATTCCCTCGTGCTCTCCTCGCGAGCAATCATCCGGATTCAATAAATACCAGCGGCATCCCCTGGTCCCGAAGCTTTCGATTAATCATGCCGAAGATCGTCGTCTCTATTACACCAGAGGATCCGGTGGATCCCCATGGAAAAACGAAGAAACGAGGAGGGAGGGGACGGGGAAGGGTCGAAAAGGAAGAGGGATTACCAGTCGGCGTACGAAAATGATTAATTACGCGGCGCGGAACGAGAGACACGGCGTGCCGCGACCTTGCCTGCTTGACGTGGCCGCGGAGGCAGCACGCGGCAGCGTGATACTTATCGGCGTGATTTACATCGCAGTTAAAACCGTTGACACGCCGCGACTTTCCCGTCCGCGCCGCCGCGGAATTACCGCGCTTATCCGCGCAATTAGACGCTTCGTCTCGCGGCGATCACGGCTCAATCGGCCACGTTCCCCGGGCCCCGCGGCGATTTTTCGCCGGCTCGGGTGTACAGCGACGGGTGCGAATGGAAAACGCGAACGGAGGAGTAGCACGTGAGACGGGAACGGAACCGGAGTCGTCGCCGAGACGTAAATTGAACGCCGAGACTCGCCGAGCGCAGGATTTTTCCCGGCGAGACTGTTTGCCAGAGGAGGATTCCCGGAACGCGAGTGGATGTTTGCGAGCGTGGCGAGTGGTCGTTGCCTGCCTGCCAGCGTTTATTCCTCGGAGTCGAGTGGCTTTCTTTGAGGGTGAGTGGCTGAGAGAGAGAGAGAGAGAGAGTTGGATTCGAATTCTTTTTCTATAAAAGGGGTGGTTTTTTGAGTCTCGGCGTTTAGATGTAATGGTGCAAGATGTAATGGACCATTGTTTCGTGTTTTGGGAATGTTAATTTAGTGATATTTTTTTTTTCTTTTCTAGATCGAAATATTTAACACTTTGCACTCGAGAGGCGCCCTCCAGTTGCCATTTGATAAAATTTCTAAGTTCGATATTAATTAACCCTTTGCACTCGAAAGGTGATCTTCAGTCACCATTTCATAAAATTTGGAAGATCGATATTAATTAATATATGAAATTTAGTGTAATGTAACAGTGTGCGAGATATCGAAATCAAATAATTCTACAATTCTATTAATGTACAATTCTTTATTTACTGCCCAGAAAAGTATCGTCAATTTTTTAGTAGAGAATCTTTGAATTTCTACTCTTCTCTAGCCAAAAAGTCGTCGAGTGCAAAGGGTTAATATATATATATAGAATTTAAAATAATGTAACAGTGTACAAGGTTATTATACGATTTCTTATTTACTGTTCAGAAAATATCATCAGCTTTATAGCAGAAAATTTTTCAACTCGAACCCTTCTTTAGCCAAAAATCGTCGAGCGCAAAGGGTTAATACTGGACCTGCTACCTACCACCTGGTTAAATGCCCCTGGTTAAATGAAAAAGGAGCAGAACCTTACAAAAATGGAAGATTTAGGACATGGTAGGTTTAGTGTTAAGAGCTAGCGTGATATTTACACATTTTTAACGTGCGATATACATTGTGTAAACTTATTGAAATTCTGGCAGGTGTATAATTATGGTTAAAATCTTTAATATGTAAAATATTTCACGATGATTTATTAATTTCTAAAGATCGACGTTAATTAATATATCAAATTTAAAATTACCTACCGATGTGTGGAATGTGGAAGAAAAATAATTCTACGTCTTAATTTGCATATGATTTCTCATTTACCATTTTAAAAATATCGTCGACTCTATGACAGAAAATCTTCGAATTACTATTCTTCTGTAACGAAAAAATCGTCGAGTGCAAAGGATTGAAATACTTTCACGTATATAATTATCCAAGATTAAAAATCCAAGCTTGCAAACAAAAATTACATTTATTTATTTATTTAATTAACATGTCAAGACCGAATAGGACACAAAAGAAAAGTCGAATTGTAAGAATGCGGAATATAAGCGAAATGTAAGTGTAATGTATGACAGAAAATGTTGACTTAATCGAGGACTCCATTTGCATGAGTGCAGATCATAAGACCTAACATCTGCTTCATATTTAATACTCACGATTGAAGAATATTTTTATTTGAAATTATAGCATGTAATGAAATAATGCGATACATAATGAATAATAAAAGACGATTTTAGGAACTAACATTGGTTAGTAGGAACATTATTTATAAATTTTAAAGAAAAATACGTAAGTGAGGAAATAAATGTAATGATCCTTTTCAAATCTGACCAGTCCACTGATTTGTATTTTTTATTATTCGGTACTTAACACGAAGCATGTTTTGTATTACCATATTTATCTAAGTTATGTATCTCAGGATCGTTACCAAGTCTTTTTTACAAAATTCTTTGCAATATTAAAAGAGGTGAATTGGTATAAATTTATATTCAGTTTTGTTTGCAATTGCAAAGATATTTTATACGTGCCAATGATAGAAAAACGAGACAGGCTTTTTATTAGTAATCAGGTATGATTATACAGTATGTATTTAATAATGAGTACCTGGAACCTTCTTCTTTTGGAATGGACGTCATTCGCGTCATTTACATCGCTATTATTTGCGCACTTATTTGCAGTTCCGATAATCGCAAAGCCAGAGAAAAAGATCCTTGGTTATTCCATGCCGAATCATCCTACAATTTTCGATCGAATTTCGAATTTTCAATTTCAGTAGCGATTAATGCCCAAAGCATCACGCGGAATTTTTATTATAGATCATCAGGATCTTTCGATTCTTTTCGAAATAAATTTCAAACGACGTTACGAGATTAGAAAATCTAGTTTCGAGTCACGAGAAAAATCCCTTCCCGAAACTCGTATCGAGTTTATCTAAGTATGCAAATTCAGAGCATTTAAGATTAGAAATTTGCATTTGACGCCAGAAGGAAATTATCTTAAATTATACGAGTCTCGAAATTTGTATGTGGAGCCAGAGCGAATCTAATCTAACCCAAATTTTACGTAAGAATTGCACGAATACGCAAACAAATTTGTCTCTTCCAAAACTAGACTCTTCTATTTCTAATCATAGCTTTCATAAGTTTGTTCGTATATTTTTAACATCCTTATCTTATTTCAGGTAGAATATTTTTATTGAATTCCTAGTCAAACTTGTATAATTTATTCATTCATTTCGAATCTAAATCCTACGCAAAATTTTTCAAAATGTGCATCTGTAATATTCTACAAGTTCTTTATTTTCAAAATTAATATTTTATTTTTGCAAACGTTTGGAAATTTTTGCGAGCGAGTATTCTACAAGCCCCATAATAGTTGCCAATTTTTTGCACAATTACTTCAACACCTGTATGAAACTTGCGTTTCACTGAAAATACAATATCATTTCCAAAAATAATTTCATTTCAACCTGTCTATTACATTCTTTTGATTAGAACCACGTGTCAAATTTTCGCAAGCGTTCGAATATTTTCGCGAACGAATTTTCTACAGACCCTACAGTAGTTGTCAATATTTTCAACAATTACTTCAACATTTTTACAAAATTAGCGTCTCATCAAAAATACGATATCATTTTTAAAAATAATTTCATTCCAACTTGTCCATTATATGCTTTCGATCAGAATCACGTGTCAAATTTTTGCAAGCGTTCGAATATTTTCGGAAACGCATATTCTATAAACCCTGCAATAATTGCCAATATTTTCTACAATTATTTCAACATTTCTACAAAATTAGCGTCTCACTGAAAATACAATATCATTTCCAAAAATAATTTCATTCCAACCTGTCTATTACATTTTTTTGATTAGAACCACGTGTCAAATTTTCGCAAGCGTTGGAATATTTTCGCGAACGAATTTTCTACAGATCCTACAGTAGTTGTCAATATTTTCAACAATTACTTCAACATTTTTACAAAATTAGCGTCTCATCAAAAATACGATATCATTTCTAAAAATAATTTCATTCCAACTTGTCTATTATATCTTTTCGATCAGAACCACGTGTCAAATTTTTGCAAGCGTTCGAATATTTTCGGAAACGCATATTCTATAAACCCTGCAATAATTGCCAATATTTTCTACAATTATTTCAACATTTCTACAAAATTAGCGTCTCACTGAAAATACAATATCATTTCCAAAAATAATTTCATTCCAACCTGTCTATTACATTTTTTTGATTAGAACCACGTGTCAAATTTTCGCAAGCGTTGGAATATTTTCGCGAACGAATTTTCTACAGATCCTACAGTAGTTGTCAATATTTTCAACAATTACTTCAACATTTTTACAAAATTAGCGTCTCATCAAAAATACGATATCATTTCTAAAAATAATTTCATCCCAACCTGTCTATTATATTCTTCCTATGAAAACTATGTGTCAAATAAATTTTCACGTACAGCCATCCTCCGAATTTCACACAGATCTGCCAAGACGTATTCGCGTGCTCGCCTTCCATCTAGACCCGCGTTGGATCTCACGAGGATCATAGGACGCTGCTCGCCCTTTCATCGTCGTGGTCGATCTCGGATCGAAATTAACGTACGACGAAGGAACCGTATCCCCGGAGCCATTCTTGATGGAGTCACGATCCGAAAGTCGTTAACGTTTTCTTTGACCTAGCTCTACTAATTGCGTGGCGGCAAAGAGACGCGGTGCCCCGAGATGGTCTCACGAAACTGTTGCCAACGCTGTAAGAGATCCTTGCCGGAGGGTGCAGCCGACGCCTCGGGGCTGGCAATTAAACGTGATTATCCTTCATTAAGGACGAATTCGAAGGACGGGGCACAGGGAACGTGGTTGCGTAATTGTGGGAATGATTCGTCGCTCCAACCCTGCCTGTGTCCCTTCCCCGTTCGGTTCTCGTGATGGTAGCTCACGATCCTCGCGTGCACCCACGCTGAAAATCGGCTCGGAAAGCCCCGCAGCGTTCGTGAACACGAAGAGGATGATTGCTCTAAGTTGCTGGAAAAATGTGCGCTCCGGAAGGAGCGTTCCTTCCAGGTTCAGATTCCTCCGAGATCGAAAACGAGGAACAGCCGAGAGCTTCGGGACTCGTTCCGTCATTCAGGATCAGATATGCGCGGCTATTGAGGATGAAAATTTTAATCGGACGAAAGGTGTTCCTTCGCTTCGTTCCTCAGCAGTTGTATCGCTGTTTTTCACCGATGGACACACTTATCCCCAACTTTTGTCCGGTGTATAATTAATCTCGAGGAATTAAAAAAGGAAACTTCTTTCGATGGAACGTTGATGACTTTCAGTAACGAGGTACCAGGCAGTTTCTTTAGCATACTTTCTCAGGACGCAGCCTCTGACTCGTGAGAATTTCGCATCCACGTGGATTATTATACTAGTCGAAATATCATACTAGTACTAAAATATTATACTACTAAACTAAAATATTATACTAATACCAAAATATTTATACGAAATATTATACTTGTCGAAATATCATTCTAGTAATATATTATACTATACTATAGTGTATAAAATATTATACTAGACTGAAGTATTTATACGAAATATTATACTAGTCGAAATACCATACTAGTTCTAAAATATTATACTACTAAACTAAAATATTATACTATACTACAGTGCATAAGATATTATAATAGACTAAACTATTTATATAAAATATTATGCTAGTCGAAATATCATATTAGTACTAAAATATTATACTATACTATAGTGTATAAAATATTATAATAGACTAAACTATTTATACGAAATATTATACTAGTACTAAAATATTTATACGAAATACTATACTATACTATAGTGTATAAAATATTATACTAGACTAAAGTATTTATGCGAAATATTATACTAGTCTAAATATCATTCTAGTACTAAAATATTATACTCTAAAATATTATACTAGACTAAAATATTTATACGAAATATTATACTAGTACTATACTAATCGCGATTCCTATCTACCAATTCGAGATTAACAGGTCGTGAATAGACCAGTGCTTTAGTTCCATTTATAAACTCTATCCAAATTTTGTATCGTAATCTTGTGCCTAAAGTACTGAAACATATTTTACATAGATTCCCTAATTTCTCTTATTCTTCAGACATCGGTAGATATTAGATGATAGTACAGAAAACTTAAAATCCAAAAATGTATAGCGTGAACGACACCAATTCTTACTATCAGAATTTCGATACTGAAGAGACAAAAATGTGTACCAATATTTAAATAAAATTCTCGATTTTTGCTAAAACAAACGAAATCGAATATCATCATTGTTCTTATACCCTATCCATCGAAGAACCGAATAGGACATCAGCATCCAATCAGAAGATTCAAAAACCTCTGCTATTGAACACCGTTGCTCTTCCTCACCGGAAGAATTTTTAAATCAAACAGTGATTTAAGGTGCACCGAATCCCATCAGAATCTAATTTAACCTACGATTAATCACGGAATCGGAGGTTAACCGGCGATTCTCGATCCAGCTCGCAATAAGATACCGGGGCAGGCGAAAATTTTGATGAAGCAATTTCTCTCCTTCACCGGTGCCCGTCGTGGACGTCAAAACCCCCGAATAAAAGTTCGTCCAATTTTTCAAATCCCCCCCGCGCCCCCCGCCCCGGCGAATAAACGCTACCAATATTCGTCCCGCAGCCCCGGCCAGCGCCATGCACTTTTATCTGCCGTTATCCGGTGTATCATTATCACGACAGGTTGTTTGTCTTGCGAGGCGAAGGGGAAGTGTTCCTACCAAATGTATGCCGCGAGTCAACACTTGGTGCGCGTGGTTGTTTGACTGTTTGACTTTCCCAGAGCAGAGAGGAGCGGTTCCGAGCCGTATATATCTACCTGCGAGGCTCAGGTTCTAAGTTTCCTCAAATGTTGTCTCAGCCGGGTTAGATACCGTACGTCGCGCGGTTTCAACCCTAGATAACAGCGTTCTTCTTCGAGATTAAGTTTCTTGTCCATCAACGCACCGGAGCACCGCTGATGGAGCCATTTAAAAAATTCCTCCGCGTTTCGACGACCCATCAAATGGCTACCTTTGCCCCCCCTTTCGCTTGCGTTTTCGTTTCTTTCCTTTTTCCCTTCCTCCTCCTTTCCCCCCCTTTCGTTTATCTGCGTTGGCATGGTGGAATGTCATGGGAGGGTTAACCTGCCGTTTCGAATGTTTCTATGTTTCTATGCTTTGATTGGGAGGCGCTTTTGGTTCTCGGAAGCTGCGTCAAGAAAGTCAATTACGTTGATATCTTTGGGAATCGTGGCTGGGTTTGAATTATTTTCCAAGTTTGTAAAATATAAAGTAAAATATGAAATTAGAAAATTTTCCACGAATCTAGATTAAAATATCTAATTTATTTCTGTCCTTTATTGGATATAATGATAAACGAAGAGCCTACTTGAAGAGTATCAATGATAGTAGGAGTATAATAAGGTGTTCCCTTCTTTATTTTTAAAAGAGGTAGAAATATTCTAATTTGAGTTGGTGCCTGACTAATAATGGTCCCTAATTTTCACGATCATTCGACTATTCTAATTCCCGATACTTTCTTTAAGACACTTGTCCAAACACGAATGCTAATCATATTTAAAAGAAGCATCTCATTAACATCTTTTCTACATTCCTAACTGCCTCTATCGGCTGGCATAAAAATTAAATATTCCAACAGCCAGCAATTCCTACCAAACACTATTTCCTTGAGATTATCAAAAATTCTTTCAAACGATATCAATTTAACATCCCACTGGAAACTTGAGGAATTCCCATATCATGTAGTATCAAAATTAATCGTTTCAACGAGAAGTCGTCGATGATCCTGGTCGAATTACCTACTGTACTTTGAAAATTATCAAAAATTTGCAGAGACTTTAAAGACGACGTGACGACATGATGGAAAATTCAATGGTCCTGATTGAATTACCTCCTCTTTTCCTTTGAAAATTATCAAAATTTTGGAAAGACTTTGCCAGCAAAATTGGAAAAGACGGCGCGACGATATGACGGAAAGTGGAGGAATTCCCATATCTCCCAATATTAAAGTTAATCGTTTCAACGAAAAATTTTCAATGGTCCTGATTGAATTACCTCCTCTTTTCCTTTGAAAATTATCAAAAATTTGGAAAGACTTCGCCAGCAAAATTGGAAAAGTCATCGCGATGACATGATGGAAAGTCGAGGAATTCCCATATCTCCCAATATTAAAGTTAATCGTTTCAACGAAAAATCTTCGATGGTCCTCATTGAATTACCTCCTCTTTTCCTTTGAAAATTATCAAAAATTTGGAAAGACTTCGCCAGCAAAATTAGAAAAGTCGACGCGACGACATGATGGAAAGTCGAGGAATTCCCATATCTCCCAATATCAAAATTAATCGTTTCAACGAGAAATCGTCGATGATCCTCATTGAATTACCTCCTCTTTTCCTTTGAAAATTATCAAAATTTTGGAAAGACTTTGCCAGCAAAATTCGAAAATACGTCGCGACATGACGGAAAGTCGAGGCATTTAGCCTGAGAATTTCACTCGACTCCGATCCTTTTCCCGCTACAATTACACGCGCAGCGTGACGGCATTCGAGGAATTTTCTGCGCGATTATCACGCGTACGTTTCCATTGCCTGTATCGCGAGCGCGGCGCGAAATTCCAGCGGAGCGGAATCGCGGCGATTGCCGTAGCCGTCGCGAGGACGTCGCGACGCGCGATACGCGCATACGTGTTCCGGCACACGTATCGCGAGCGCCGTCTATGTATCCGACGAATGACGTTTCCGCCGCCTCACCTTCGGCCTAATCGCGCGATGGTGCTCGACGGGCACGTTCCGCGCGTTTATCGGCGGCCACGCGGCAATGGCGCTCGTAAAAATTCGCATAACGTTAACGACCGCCTACATCTATCGGGCACGTGCTGGAAAAATGGAACGCGTCGCGGCGAACAACAATTTTACTTTTAAATGAGAGCCTCACGTTTGCCCGTCACCCGGGGAACAACGAAAGTAAGACGGTTCGGGTCTTTTTATGTCCGCTTTGGTATGGACCGAGGGACTTTGGAAATATTTTTGGGGCAAAAGAAAATAAGAGAAAACGTAGCAACGTAGTACCGACTTGGACTTACTGTAATATTGGTAATTTTATTTAAGACGTTATTTCGATTTTTAATATTATTTATCTGGAATTATTATCAAGGAATTTCTTTTTAACTTTTGGAGAGAGTATGTTGTTTCTGATTAATGGGAAATAATATTGGATGTTCTTTTTCATTCGGCGGAAAGGAAAAAGATGGAAATGAATTTATTATGGTTGAGTATTGGTACCCTGGTGATTAGGGTGAGAAAAGTAAAATTTGGGGAGTGACGCGAAATTTGTTAATGCTAAACCTGTCGGTTATATTAAATAACTGGCGAATGAAGAAGAATTAGAATCTTAAAAAATGAAGTAACGAGAAACATTGGAAAAATTATACGCGTAATGAAAGAAAAATGGCGAAGACGAGTGATTAAGACGATAACGTTAAATACGGAATTTTTACTGAAAAGGTTTAGAAACGATGATTTAGGTCATGGTAAGTTTATTGTTAATATACTTAGCGTGTTTACTATGTGCTTTTAATATATTTATTATAGTTATCTATTATAGTTATTTATTATAGTTACTCCAATTCATGAGATAATTATTTATGAATAGAAAAATATTTGCAATTTTCATTCCTTCTTTTACAT